GACGGGCGAATGAGCTTGGTCACAATGGTCACATATACTACGTCCGCTATACGACAGTAACAGTATTCCTAACTCTGCTGATAGTTTGTCTCTCCCTCTCTTTGTCTCTCCTAGTCCTCTATTTCCTTTGTCGCGTCTACTGGTGTAAGCAGATAACAGATACATACTATGGGCTCGCAAGTCAAGTAAGTGGCTCGAGAAATAGAGTGATATTCTTCGTATTCCTTTTGTCCTTTAGTCCACTAATACTAAGACTTTATACCAGATTCTTTATATGGTAGCGGTCAGGCTCCCGCTTAGCAGATGTTATTCGTTTTTCTCTCATGCTCGCCCATAGCTGCAACCGTATACCTTGTGAAGTATGTAGCTACAAGTGTGAACAATGCTTGTCTCATATAGTGAAAATATCTTAGTGAAAACATCTATTTGATGACACAAAGCCAGATTCGTTCTTCGTTATGTTAAAGTTTGGGTATCCCTGTCGAGACATTCCTTGAAGATGGAGAGGGCAAACCGACGTATCGACACGGCGACAGAGCGAAAAAAAACATACCAGCAATGTGATTGTGACAATGGAGTGATCGCTGTCGTTTTTCATCCAAATCTCCTCGTCAGTAGATTTGTACACAACTCGCACGGAGGAAAAACTCACCCACCAAGCAGTCCACTTTTTGGATTCCGAGACTGCTTTATATTAGGTTGGCAAGATTGAAATGTCGCTTCCGTTTGTGCCTTTGTTTCTCAGCTTAAACAATCTCTTAGGATGGGAGACCATTCATTCGAGAGAGCGATTCAGCACGCATATTGCGAAATCTTAGGCGCCACTGAGCGGATGTTCTTCGAGCCAAAACTTTTGCTCGAAGATGACTGATCAGAAATCATCGTCTGAGCGTATATATTCAAGCAAGGAAAAACGGCCAACGAATCTCACTCATTGTGTGCAAAACATTGAGCAGTAACACTTAGTCTCTGATGCACTTTCAGCTATGGTTTCAGCTCTTCCAAGACTGAGGTAAAGGACCTGAGGACGAAGATCGTGGATTTTGACCTCTAGCTCTAGATGACGGAGAAATAAAGAAAGCCAACGAATTGAGTCCTCGACAAACCGCACAAAACTTGCATGGAGATTCAGTTGTGTCAACAGAAAAATTTAAAAAGTTCCTACGTGCGACTGTTAAGGCCTTTCAGGATAGAAAATGGGTTCGGCCTATTCTGAGCGACGCGAGCAAGCAGTACTGGTTGCCAATACTGGAACTTCGCTCCATAACTTCAAGAGGTTCTTGACTTCGTGTTGACCGCATTTTACAAAGAGATGTTTCCCAATAACAACGCGAGAAGACGACCGTGGTTGGCGGCTGATGGACAGCTGAGGGTGACTTCGAAACCAGACATCCACGGAAACAAAGTCATGTTTTTATATGGTGATATAGTATAGCAACGGTGTACCACGGAATGCTGATTGTGGGTTATACAGTTACAGCTGAACTCTGCGTATAACAGCTCCACCACGTGGGCCGAGCTCCGCGTCGTCAAAGGGTAATTCGGCCAATGAAAAATTATGGCACGATAATGCAAGACCACATGTCGCGAAAATCACGCAACAAGAAATCGAGGAGTTGGGCTGGGACGTTCTACCTCCAGCGCCATATAGCCCAGGTCTGGCGCCGTCCGACTATCACTGACCCAGGTCAGCGCAACACTCCTTAGCAGCAAACCAATTCGATAACCGCGACGACGTCAAAATTTGAGTGCCCAACTTCTTCGAGTCGAACCAGAAAGAGTTCTACGCGGTAGGCATCCATGCTTTGCGTAACGAAAGGTGATGAGCCTGTGACACAGGTGAAGGAGATGGTTCAGGTTGATGTGCTTCATTATTGTTTTTATAATGAAAATAATTGATGATCGAAAACGACATTTCAATCGTTCCAACCTAATATATGAGTACCCTGCACTGAAAACTGAATGGTCGCATTGAAAAACATGGTTTTTTTGTTTCAGGTACCAATTTTTCGTATTGGAAAACGCTATTGTTGTGACTCCTCTCTTTTCATGTCCTCTAACTTTAATTTTTTAGGTGCAAGATATAATTGCCGTGATGCGGTTTGGTTCTGGCTTGCATTCCATTGAGCGCTACGTAAGGGAGGCTCCGAGCGGCCAACAGATCCTTCACAGTCCAGTAAGACGAATTTATCCCGAGGATGACACAGTTTTCGGAGATTACGAGAGAGTTAGTTTTCAAATAATAGGTTCAGTGGCCAGTTCCCGAATAAACGAGTTCAGGAAGAGCCACTGATGAATGTGATGGCTGAAGCGTTGCAACGGCACTTTGCTGGAATTGATTTCAGAGAACGAAATGCGGGACATCAGATAGACGAACATATGAGGGACGAAGGTGAGTCGCCGTGTCTTTCGTAGTTTTTTCTTCAGGTTTATTATCAGCTCAATACAAGCACCTTTGGCAAGGTTAAAGTCATTTTGGGATCATAATCCTAGCACGCCCTTTAGAACCAAAACGAGGAGAAACTATATTGGATAACTCTTCAAACCTTTTTGTATTCTGATTTCTTCTAGTTATAGAAATATAGTATAACGAGTGTTTTCACAGTGAGGTAATCACCATTAATACACATTTGCAGAATCGATTATTAAGATTAAGAATTAAGAATCGATTATTGCAGTCTTGCTAGGAAAACTTACCTTTTTGAAAAAGCCAATCGACTGATAAGGGATTCCAGGATTTGGCAACATCAACTTGGATGAAAGAGCGACCGCAGCCAGTTGTTGTCTAGTCTAAATGCCATGTAAAATAACTCCCATTTCTGATGTCAAGGTGTTTACTTGGCTTTCTATGGAGCCAAATGTCTATCTTAGTCAGATAATTTCCCATTGCCCTTTGTTTTAGTCTGTTCTGGTTGGCTGTTGTTCTCGCTGTATTTTTCGGTATTTTAAGGTTTCAATGTCAAAGCATACGTGCCGGACAATCCCGGATTCATTCCATGAGGAAATAATTGGATCGAATGGGAATAACCATGGAATGGATAAAATGGTAAGCAGTGATAAGGTGAGTCGTAGGCTCATCACAAGCTGTTTACGTTTATTTATTTATTATTTTATGTTTTTATTATTTTTTTTATTGTCGCCAACTTTATCCATTGGTGTCAATTAGTAAATTCAGTTCCGAATTAGTTTCAAGTAACATACATTAATCATGGTTGACCGACTTAATCAGCATTGGAACTGTTTACACACTATCGCCGAGTATGCGGTCTGGACCCAAATTTCTGGCCAAATTCAACATCTTTGATTTTCTTTTATGTTTCATCTTTCCTTAAACGACGGTGATCAGAAAAGAGCCACCACATAATAATCATGATAAGCACGGTAGCATTGCATTCCTCCCAGAATGAATGGAGCTGTGGAATGAAAAGTTCGGAGAGGTCGTTTCTTGGGGTGGTTGCATTTACTGACTCTTTTCTCTCCAAGCTGCTGCTTCAGGGAGCTGGAGGAGGTGATAGTACGATGGAGCAATGTCAGGGCTATACGACAGATGTGGTGTCGTGGTCCAGCCAGTTTCCTTCGAAACGTGGCGAGTTATCTTTGCAATGTGATTTCGGGCGGTCCTTCGGAGAAAGGAGATTTTGAGACGTTTCCAACCGTTCTCCCGCACTGCTGTAGCCAACTTCGGAAGCTATTCCATGGTTACCTTCGCAATGCTTGTCTGCATAAAGTGAAATGGTTCTCAAAACGGGATACCCAGCGAATCCAACAAAACGGGGTCACACCCTCTGATGAAACAGCTCGGGTTTTGGTTGATGTGCTGCGTCCAGGCTGCGAGGTAGCCACCGGGCGAGCCGCGTGTTGTTATCGTAGGGGACTCATGACTCATCTGCACTGGTGACCAACCAGGGAATGTCTTGTCTATACGGTCGCAGAATGAAACTTCTGCAGATGGTCAGACGTGCTCTCTCGGTCATGGTCAGTCCATGCATGCTGTTTCCATCGAGGCTTCTATTCTGCTACAGTCCATTCCATTCAGGTGTCGACTCATGGAGCGTAGGCTGCGCCCAGATGTTTGCTACAGTTTCCTGCTAATAGCGTCCGGATGCACTTCCTATTCGTAGCGCAAGCGGTCCTCATCGAAAGTGATTGGGGGTCCGTGATGAGGTCGAACTTTGCAGCTCCTATCGCCTTTGCGTATGCTATTGAGCCAATAGCTCAGTGCCCGATCAGTAGCAAAGACTGGGGCAAACGTAGCGCTGATCTTGCCTACCGCGCTCCTTGCAAGGTTCTTCTTAAAATTGTCGCAAGGCAAAATCGTTGGGTTTGGTTGTTGATCTATTTTGATTCCTACTTAATTATCCCTTGCGCACTTAAGCTAAGTATGGTCAACCATATTTTAGGTTATCCGTAGGAATTTGGCGTTGATTATATCAGAGCCATTAGTTTAATGTTGAGCGTTTTCTATCAGCCATAGCGAGCATTAGGAAGGCCATGCTTCAATGGTAGAGCTGTGCTGAAGGAACTTTTGAACCGTAAGGTATGGTCTACCACGTCGAGCCTCTACGTAGTCCAAACTCATGTCGGTATCAATCCTATCCCGGGTGGATGGTATTGCATAGAACCCCAATTCAGTACATTCCCAGCAGCTTCTTTTCCTACTTCTAAGCAACAACAGCGCTTAGCTTCTCATCTTTAAACCATATAGTCGCCCCGTTCTTGCTAGTTAAATGTGCTTTTGATCTTTTTATTTCAAAAGGGCATCAACGGTAATATTTAGGCTGGCAATCGAGGCGAGAGCCAGCGACTCCAAGGGACGGAGCGGCGGTTGAAATACAAGCACTGGCTTACAGTGTGCTGAATGCGATGTCTGAATGGGCTAACGCTGGTGTCATAAACAAGAATGGTATCCAGTGGTGTGTTTCTGAACTAGTCTCTGCTCGCGATTTGTTACTTTGAACGACTACTATCCTCTTATATATAAAGCAGCAGTTTGGTGTGTTTGTCTGTTTGTAACCATGGGCTCGCACGCTACGTAGACCCAAGAAAACAGTTAAGGCATGGTCCTGACTGGCTAGGAAGTGCCCCTTGTCCTCTTATATATAAAGCAGCAGTTTGGTGTGTTTGTCTGTTTGTAACCAGGGGCTCGCACGCTACGTAGACCCAAGAAAACAGTTAAGGCATGGTTCCGGATGGGTAGGAAGCTGCCCCTCTATCCTCTTATATATAAAGCAGCAGTTTGGTGTGTTTGTCTGTTTGTAACCAGGGGCTCGCACGCTACGTAGACCCAAAAAACAGTTAAGGCATGGTCCCGGATGGGTAGGAAGCTGCCCCTTGGGCGTGTAGGGTGAAGGTAGGGCTTGGTTAGAAAGGGTATGGTAGTGGGCGGGGCCCGGTCAGGTGGGCGGGGCTTGCGCTGGAATCTCCTTAGAAAACACAGGTTTTTGTGCAGAGGCCCCGAATTGCTAAGCGAATCGCAACATTGATCGGGTAGTGTCGTAGGAGTTGGATTTTGGATGGATCACAGGTTATCGATCGATATCGATTGAAAATATCGGTTTTTGCGCAGAGTGCTCGAATAAGGTTGGGAATCACGCTATTGATTGATGGCTGCAGTAGTAGTGGAAATCTCAATGGGTCACATGTTATCGATCGATATCGATTGAAAATATCGGTTTTTGCGCAGAGTGCTCGAATAAGGTTGGAAATCACGCTATTGATTGATGGCTGCAGTAGTAGTGGAAATCTCAATGGTCCACATGGTATCGATCGATATCGATTGAAAATATCGGTATTTAAGTCACGTGGTATCAAGCAGTATCGATCAAAAATATCGGCTTTCATCAAGTAGGCTTGGAAAGACCCCTAGAACCGAATTAAAAGGGTTTTGTGGCAAGCTCCGCTCACTGTGGTACATTTCTCACCCTCCCCCCTCCGTTGACCCTTAATCTTCCCTCCTTATCTGATCTCTCTGTCCACTTCTTTCTCGGTTCTGGGACTTCTCTGAACCGACTTATGACAAGTTTGCAGTAAACGCTGCCCACTTAAGGACAGGCTCCTGCTGTGGGTGGGCTCCCACTGAATTTCAGGTATGTTGAAGACACCTTAGATGTTGTTCTCCTAAACCGATTTTACTACGGCTCAATAGGCTTTCTCATGCCAGAGTTATGAGTTCTTCTTATCGAGAAACACTCCTTCAGAGAACGCTCCACCCACAACGGGCGGGCCTCCCAGATTCGACTTTTAAACCCAGTGCACACCTTTACTCTTTTTTCGGTGTTTTGGCTATACCAATACCCAAACTTGAGCATTCTGCCGTCGGCTGCTCCTAACTCGACGCATGCCCCGCCCACTGTGGGCGGAGTTTCCCATGGTCCGTGTCCCCCCTGTAGCCTGACTCATTCTCTACCCATCCCGAACTTGACCTGGACCCTGATAGGTGGTTCCTCAGATAGTACTTAATTTAGGCTCAGCCCTCTATATCCACTCTCTATTCTCTTAGATATAAAGCAGCAGTTTGGTGTGTTTGTCTGTCTGTTACCACTAGGAGGGAGGGGGGAAGGGGGAACGGGAAATTCTCTACTTCTCCCATTCAGTCCTTCACCCCAAAATATAGGAAAAACTAAGTTTCCTTACCACCTCCTCAAATTCGAGCCTCTTCTCGAACTTTCAACCTTCACCAACTCCAAGTACGGCTCCTTCCGATTAACTCAAATACCGCTCCCTTATTGAGAGCTACGAAACACACATTAACCCTGCCACGAGAATCCATCCTCTCCAGCCGTGTCTCGCGCGCGGTATCGTGCGCAGCTAAACTGGTAGTATAATATGTACTAGCAGTGATCATGGTAACGGTAAATAGCGATGCTTTGAATACTTGGTGGTGTATGTGCCATCTCTCTCTTATAAGCATCAACGGCAAAAAAAAGATAAACTTGGTAGGAATAGAGAAATCTTACACCAAATCAAGGAGAAAGGGGTAGAAAGTCTTTAGGAGCTTCGATCTTGTACTTCGGCTAAGCTTGGAAGTATCTAGCAACATATCGCACGCATAGAATTTCGTCTATGCATAAGTGATTTCATAGTTACGTCTCTTTGGTTGCCCGCTTATTCCCACTTGCTATTCCCACTTGCAGAAGTTGGAGGCTTACTTGGGGTGTCCCCCAAGAGGCCCATCGCGCGGCGAAGGAAGAGACGCAGATGCGGCAAAGGACGAGTCGCAGCGCGTGCTGTGCGATATGAGACGTAGTATGGTACACTCTATTTAACCTGACGCCTAACCGCTACAGTATGCGCTGCGACTCGTCCTTTGCCGCGTCTGCGTCTCTTCCTTCGCCGCGCGATGGGCCTCTTGGGGGACACCCACTTGCAATAGCTTTTCTCATTAAGGCTATGTTAAACAGTCACGTTTAATTCAGCCATTTTGGGCTCATTTTAGGGCGATTATGTGCTTTCAGGTGATGAATCCTGGGCTTGGTCAGAGTGGGCAGAAAAGATCAAGAGTAATTTCGAGCAGCAGTTCTTTATTGACGAGAATCATGATGGCCAATTTGTGAATCAAAGGAATATACTGAAGGACACTGTTGGCTCGACTCTCGAATTCACGGATTATCAGCTCAGATGCAATTTCGTCGTCGCCCTTGCTACGGTAGGTCGTCGTTTCTCAGTCTTTGCGTTTCTCAGTGCTTGGGTTGAGTCACGTGTGAAGAGAGGATTCCGAAAAAATTTTCAAAATTTGGCAAAACTTCAAGAAATCCTTTGAAAAATTCCGGCGCTAGCGTTTTCAGGGGGAGAGAGTCGCCATGCGACTTGAGCCTAGGAAGAGAGGACGAAATTTGGGGGAAACAAAAATCATTTACATACCCCTCCACTAGTCCCCTTGGGGTTTGTCTAGGGGCAAGAGGGAGGAATTGGCTTGTGCACTCTGCATGCCCCCTGAGTGCACTAGTACCTAGCGTATGATTTTTGATCAGCTTGTAGGATGGAAATTCAGAGGTTTTTGCTGTTGTGAACCTCTCTGAGACTCTCCACACCCTTTTGCTTAGCTCTGCGGTTTGGTAGAGGTTTCTTTTTCATTTCTCTAACACGTTTTCATACAGCTTCATATTTTAGGCCCCAACGTTGATTGATCCTCACAAGGCCTGGCTTGCTCTTGACATGGCAAAGGAACATCTTCTGGGACCGCTAGGAATGAAAACCTTGGACCCAAGGTAAGAGAATTTGTTTTTCTTTTTGCGAAGGCTTCTTCAATTATCAAGGATCTTATTCAGCGATTGGGCGTACAATGGCGATTATAACAACAATGACGACGGTGTAAACAAGAAAACAGCCAAGGGATGGAATTATCATCAAGGACCGGTAAGTGTTCGGCTAATTTTAATGCTACCAGGTTAACCATTGACGAGCGCGGTACAAATGTGTCTCGCAGTTCCCTTGGAGGAAGCTCGTCCTACTTAGTTGATGCCTCCATTTTCACCTTCCATAGTGGTCCTTATTGAGGAGAGCAGAAAATAAATAGTACTGGAGTTATTAGTAAGGTAGCCTAAAGTAAGATATTGCTAAGGCAAGGATGAGAAATTTTAAATAAAAAACGATAGGTCTACGCACACTAAACGATGGTCGTCATTGTGATAAGATAGAAAGAGTGGGATGGTTCTGCTAGATTTTGTAGCGGAGAATATTTTGAGTTCTCTAACTGCAGGTTGGATGTGGTTCCCTGTCCTACTTAATTTGACCTTTTTTAAAGGCACGCTCCGGGGTTGGGCTAATCTGTTCCATCCCGGGAGTAGTAGACAGGCGGACAAGCGTTGATGTCGCGCCCCTTTTGCGGCTTGAAAGTGCGCGACAAAGGCGCAAGGAGCTCGCAACTCACACCTTCGTCCGCAAGCCCCACCCTCCGCTGTCGGTTGCCACGTGGCGCTGCTTGAAAAGCGCGGGCGCATTTGAGGCAGCGGTCCCATTGCGACCCAATGTCATTGGCACTGGAGCAACTAGAGTTAGGTTCGTGAAACTCGTCCAACGCGCCCCTTCTCTATCCCAAGGTGGAATGCGGCTGAAATAGGGGAGGTCTCTGTGCGGGGCGTAATCGGTGGTTTCGTTTGCTTTCCTTCTCTTTTTAGACCACCTCCCACCTCTAGCTTCATAACTGAACGTTTTTTCC